GAGATGGTGGAAGACAGATGGAGAGGTGTATTGGGCTGGCCAAAAAGCTTCGTTTTTTTCCATAAGACAGCTCTATCTAGTAACACTTAGTTGTCTTTAATTTCATTTGAAATAATTTTATTAGATTGTTTTGTGTCTCCTATCACATCAGTGTGCATTTTTTTTAAAAACCCACCCTGGCTGCGGTAGCTCAGTGGACTGAGTTTCACATATATATCTGAAACTGCATGCTATTACCCAAACTGTCCACTTATTCTTTTATGCTTTCTTTTCTTTTTCTCAAAAGCACATTATTTTGGTATTAGATAGTGGTCATGTTTGTACAACCCTGTGAATACACTAAAAAATACTGAATTATACAGTTGGTAAACTTTATGTTATATAAATTACATTTAAAATATATGTACTTACAGATGCCTGAAATGATCTAACACCAGAAAACAAAACTCTTGGCTTTTTTGTAAGATGCTTCTCATCTGTACATACTGAGGGCAGGCATAGATTTTTTTTAAAGAATAACAAAAAAAACTAATCATAAAAAAGTTGATAAATTAGACTTCACTAAAATTAAAAGCTATTCATGAGAAGACCCCATTAGGAAAGGTAAAAAGAACCAAAAAACAGACTGGAAAACTATACTTGTAATACATATATCTGACAAAGGACTTATTCCCAAAATATTAAAAAGTTATATAATAAAAGACAAACCATTCGATAAAATAATAAAAGGCTTAAATAGGCACTTCACTAAAATAGGAAATCCAAATAGCCATTAAGTACATGAGAATGTGCTCAAAACTCACCAGGGAAATAAAAATTAAAGCCACAATGAGGTAACACCACACAACCACCAGAAAGGCTAAAATTAAAAAGGCTGATACTATCAAGATATAGAGCAACTAAAACTCTCATTTGCTGCTGGTGGGAATGTGAAATAATATGACCAATTTGGAGATGGGTTTGGCACATTCTAAAAGCTAAAAATGCCCTATTCCAGGATTCAGCAATTCCACTCACAGGTATACAGCCAAGAGAAATGAATGCGCTATGCAATTAAAAGACACATAGAAGAAGGAGCACAAGGCAGCTTATTAACAGTAGCTAAAGACTGGAAACAATCCAAATGTCCACCAGCATGAGAATGGATAGTGTATGATTCATCTGTACAATCAAATACTACACATCAATTTTTAAAAGATGACTGGTACATACAACAAGGAAAATCTCACTGGTATTTTCTTAGGTGAAAAAAGCCAGACACAAAGGCTGACTCAACTAAGCCAGGATGACAGAAATCATAAAATGTCCTGGGGGGTAAAGGAGAGGACTGGAAAGGGATAGACTGGAAAGGGACATTGGAAATTTTGTTTACTGAAAATATTCTTCATTGGAGTAGTGGTTATACAGGTGCATACATAGAAAACAAATCTCTAAATTGTTGAACCTTAACTGTACTTTAAGGCAATGAGGTGGTGATGTTTTGGAATGAGCCTCTTATTTTTTGGAAAAAAAATTTTTGGGTTTTCTGTTCCCCCAAAAAATAAGAGACTCACCCCAAAACATCATCGGCTCATCATTCCCCTCTATCTACACGTACAGTCAACTACACGCAACTTCTCCTCTTTCCCAGTTCTTATTATACAGTATCATAACCCTTGAACAAAATGGTTTTAAACTGCGCAGGTCCACTTATATGAAGATTTCTTCAATAAATACAGTCGGCCCTCTGTATCTGTGGGTTTTGCAGCCACAGATTCAACCAAGTGCAGAGCAAAAGCAGTATTTTAGATCACTGTTGGAAATCCATGGATGTGAATATGGAAGGCCAGGCAGACTAGAAGCACTGTTTGATGCCATTTTACACACGGGACTTGAGCATCTACAGATTTTCCTGTCCTTGGGGGTCCTGGAACCAATCCTCCCAGAAACTGAGAGCTGACTACAGTTAAGTTTTGATGGAGTCAACAGTTATACAAAGAGTTTCTAATGCACAGGTATTAACTCTTGTGTTGTTCAAGGGTCAAGCGTACATTTAATTGATCTCTAATCCATGTTTCCAGAGATTCTTTCATAGGTCACTTTTAAAACACTTAGAATAGCCCTAGCAGATATGCTCAGCAGAGTGAGTGCCAGCCTGCAAACCAAAGGGTCACCAATTCAATTCCCAGTCAGGGTACATACATGCCTGGGTTGTGGGCCAGATCCCTGGTGGGGGGCGCACAAGAAGCAACCACATACAGATGTTTCTCTCCCTCTCTTTCTCCTTTCCCCTCTCTCTAAAAATAAATGAAATCTTTTTAAACTTTTTTTAAAAATCCACTTAAAACTTTCATTACTCAAATCCATTTAGATTTATATAAACCTAAAGAATATAAGTTCCCAAAGGAGCACAGGCCTGCCTTTCTTATGCAACAATTCCTTTCTCCCTTTCTAATGGGAATCATCTATAGTTTCTAAAAAGAGGATTTGGGGAAAAACTCATTTGTATGGAGTTTGAAATTAACCTGCACATCATAATCAACCAGCAATAAATTGCTGCCTCAAAGAAAAATATATGAAAATTCACAATATAAGAAAGTAAATTACTCTTTTACTTCAAATATAAGTAAATTATTCTTTTACTTCAACTATAACATACAGTGTACAACTCTATGAAGTAACTATTATTACCAGTTACACATTAGAAAAAAGTTTAAAAACCTGTACCAGGTCACATGATCTGTAGTATGTCTATAGGAAAAACTAGGGTGTTAAAGTTATAGGATCCACATGTCAGCAGAAAGCTCAATGAGACCACTGATTTTTTAAAAACATAGAGAAAAAGAAATTCAAATGGTTAAACATATGAAAAGATGTCCAACATCACTCATAATCAAAGAAAAGCGAATTAAAACTACATTAGGATACAATTTCTCATGTAGTAGATTGGCAAAAATCCAAAATCTTGACAGCACCGTGTTAGGAAGGCTATGGAGAAGGCAGCTGCTCTAACATTGCTGATGAGGGCACAGCGCCCAGGGAGGACAATTTAGCAGTATTAGTCACAATTACCAATGCTCACCCTGGCCAGGTAGCTCATTTGGTTAGACTGCCATCCCTTTACACCAAATTTGTGAGTTTGATCCCCAGTCAGGACACATACAAGAATCAACCAATGAATGCATAAGTAAGTGGAACAATAAGTCTGTCTCTCTTTCTCTCTTGCTAATCAATAAATTTAAAAAAAATTTTTTGTTAATTACAAATGCTTTTATATAGCATTTGATCCACCCACTCACATCATTTTGGGAAATTTTTCCTCCATATATAAGCATAAATACAAAAAATGACATGTTTAAAGATTCATCACTATAGCACTATTTGTAATAGCAAGGACTAGAAACAACCCAAGTGTCTAAAAGTCTGGTTAAATAAACTGCCAGAGACACACACAATGAAATACTATGAAACTGCTGAAAATCAAGAAAAAGAGAATATTCCCTATGAGCAAATACAGAAATGTCTCTAGTATAAAATGTTTTTTAAAAAGGCAAGGTACACATACACCCAATAAAAACGTTAATAATAGGGAAAACTTGTATATTTGGAAAAACTATAATCTTTGTAATATTTATGTAAATTTAGAACTGCTTTAAAATAAAAAGCTTATTTTAAAAAGTATAGACAGTATATAGTTTACTAAATTCTGTGATAGAAAGGGAGAAGAATGAGATTACAGGCTTATCTGCTTGTCGTTTCCTAAAGAAATACTAGAAGAACTCACTAGAAACTAGTAACAGTTATTTGCAAGAGAAGGCACATGGGAACAAAAAAAGAAAGCAAGATTTTAAGTGTGAATTATTTCCTTACACATTCTTTTAATCCCCATCTGAGGACAGCGTCCAATTTTGGAGGGAGAGAAGGAGGGAGGGAAACATTGACTGGCTGCCTCCTCCACATGCCCTAATTAGGGATCCAACCTGCAACCCAGGCATGTGCCCTGAGTGGGAATCGACCAAGCAACCTTTCAGTGCCTGGGACAATACTCCAACTGAATCACGCAGTCATGGCGTTTTATGTATTTTTTTTAAAGATTTCATTTATTTTTTAGAGAGGGAGAAAGAGACGGAAAGAAACATCAATGTGTGGTTGCCTCTCATGCCTGCACCCCCTACCCACCCCACCCTGGGACCTGGCCATCAACCCAGGTATGTGCCCTAGACTGGGAATCGAACGGGCAAGCCTCTGGTTCGCAGGCCAGCACTCAATCCACTGAGCCACACCAGCCGGGGTCTTCATACATTTTTAAAACTTGTTAAAAGTTGTCTTTTCAAAAAAATATTTTTGTTTTCAAAAGTAACTCCTCAAGAATTATCTCCTTTCTAATGAAACTCAAGGAAAGTTTTTGGGACAGTATTTTCATAGCAGCAGATATCATGGATTTAAAAACTATTAAACTTCTTTGAACTTTAAGTCTGTATGCTTTCCATAATTACAAACCAAATATTTTAGTTTTTAATAAAGATAAATAGGAAAATGCTTTTATAAAAGCTTCCTCTTTATACAGATTTTCTGCAGTACATCTATTAGACACAGTAATTTACAACTAAGTTCGGTGCATGACTTCAAAATTGAAAGGAATCAAGTCCCTTCATGTTCTACAATTATATTTTTTATGTAATAATCATTGTTGGCTAATTAAAAAAAGGCTGAAACCAGTAACAGTGAGAGAACAATCAGAGCACAAGGTATTAATACCAACCAACCAACTTAAACACATGCATTCAAATCATTCGTCTATGCACTATTTTCAAGACCCTACTCTCAGAGACATTTTTTCTATTCTCCAAATTTTAATAATTGTATTAAATCTTCTTTCTCCCATATGTTTTTTAAAATTCCATGTATCTACTGGAACATTGAAACAAAACAGTTCTTTTAAAATATTTTAGAAAGGCAAAAGCATGCCCATTAAGAAACTTTCCACGTTGAAATTTAAAAAATCACATATATGTACTTACCTTGAAAGGTTTATCTCCACTGTGTGTCAGCATATGCCTCTGTAACCAACTCTGACTGGTTGACGGTGTGTTGTATACTTTACAACCTTTCCATAAGCAAACAAATACCTGTTAAAAGAAGAGCCATAATAATTTCCATTACTTATTTCAACAAAGTTTTATTCCTTGAAGCTCAAATAAACATGTTGCTAGTCTTCAATTGGCAAAAAGAGCCATTTAATGTATGAGTCAATCAAATGCTTAATGTTAAAAGTTCTGAACTTCCAGTATGAGAGGCTGTTTTAACCCTTCCCCTTTAAGGCTGCCGTCCATGTCCCCAATAAGGAACTAATAAATGTAAATTAGTGGATACTGATACTTTCATCCTCAAAGAATAAGTAATGCAATTAAACTACCAAATTACAATTCCCCTGCTCCTGAATTCCTATTCTCACACCCACACTACTTATTCTTACATTACTCTATTCATTAAAGATGATTTTCAAATACCTTGAATAGGAACCAAAATCTAATGCAAAAAGTCAAATTAATACAATTGCAAAAGCAATGGGCATGAGCTACTCTATCATTATAATAGACATAAGTTCTTGGATTCATGCAACTATGACTGGGTTTGGAAAAGCACAAGTCTGTTAACTAACAATCTAATCTTTTATGATTTTCCTACCAGTGAGATATCAATTTCCTAATTGATTATATTTCCATCAAGCTGAACATTAAAATGGATTGCTAACATCAGCAAAAGAAATATTAATCTACTGTAATCATCACCTTCAAAGTACAATTTCTACACTCTGTTCTCTTCCGGGGCAAGAACAATTATAAATAGAGCCACATTTTAAAAACTGTAATGTATTAATTATATTATAGAACAGAGACAAAAAACATACAGAACTGAGGAAAAAATCATTAAAGTCAGTTTAAAATAAATTTCCTTAAAGTCAAAAAAAATGAATGATCTAAAAAAAACTGAGATCAGTTTTTATAAAAAACCAAAACCATTTTACATCAGATAGGTCTAAACAGGCAACACTGCTATTATTGCTGGTTGCCGTGACTATTTAGAGAAAGTTCTCTCATATCATGTTCCACAACAGATTTGCTAGTTTCTTTAAGTTAAGCAGATATAAAAGTCATTAACATTTCCTCCTTTATAACTTAAAATTCCTGACCTAGTACATGTTTATAAAATAATTCCTGAAGTTGCCAGAATTAAAAGCTACATTTTAAATGAATTAAGGGGGAAAAACTGTGAAGCTACAACTACATGTTATGGAAATTAATTCAGTAAGATTTGAGGATCACATACAGATAATCAATGCTATCTATCAATTTCCTGATTCATGACTTACTAGACTCTGAAAGTCTTAAATTTTCCATCCAACTAAAAAATATAAATCAGAACTTGGTTTAAAATGCTCACAAGTCATATCCCTCTAAGACAAAAGTGTCTTAAAACAAGTATTTGGGAACAAAATTAACATACTTTATATAATAACGTTTATAGAATTCTGTTGCTGTAACCCTCAAGTGATCCCTGTGCTGAATTATAATACCCTCAAAAAAAAATCAGAAAAATACTCAAACTCTGCACTAACCTAAATATTACCCAACTACTGCATCTGAGAGAAACCATAAATCTCCTAAGAAAAAATATAAATATAGAATGGCAGATCCTGTAATTTCATCAGATAATAGCCTTAACTGTGAGTAGGTAACGTCCCGAGTCTAGATGGAATAATGTCTAGTAACATTATTAGGGCAACACTTTCAGGTTCAAAGAAAAACCATAACCTTCAACTTAGTGAATATTTGAGGAAATGAAGTAAGTGTAAAAAGACCAAAGCTAACTATGGTTAGTCATATTTCGGTGAAATACTTGAAAAATAATTAGGGGGAAAGGAGGAGGAAGCAATAAACTTGCACAAGGATAGTCTTGATACACAAAATGGCACCAGAAATCCACATCAAGGATCCACCAAAACCACAAAATTTTTAAAAGCTCAATTTTCTTTCCTAATATATATTAGAAAAACCCTTTGATAAAGGGTTTGTACAGGTAGTACAAAACCTGACAAAAGTATTCAAGCCTGGTTTTTTTGATGTCAGCACATGAAAAACATTTTTATACCCTAATTTTTAGAAACTTTCTCATTGCAAAATACACCCTGAAAACCAAACACCATAGGAATTAAGCCCCAATATGAAAGGAATTATTCAAAAATAAAATCTCTCGTGGTTTCTCTATACTATGTTAAAGTAAACTGAAGTTTATCTACACTAATTAGAATATTGAGGTACAGAGGTTCCTAGCCCAGGCTCTCATGATAGACTTAGGTTAACTGGGTTGTATTAGATGTTACAGAAACAGAAAGAAGAAAAGTAAGTAACTAAATTCTATCCAGCTTTCACACTTCCCAGTTATATAAGATTGGGAGAGTCACAGCAGACACAATGAGCACACATTTGGTAACTCCAAGACATGATAAAAATGCAAAATGATATATATTCTGCAAGTAAGACTGATTGAAAGAAAAACTGTGTATTAGATATTGGACACCCTTCTCAAAATCATCACCACCAGATTTTTCTGCCACTAAGGGAGGGAATAAAAAAAAAGAAACATTGCCCAAATGAAAGAACAGATCAAAACTCCAGAAAAAAGGCTAAACAAAATGGAGAGAAGCAATCCATCAGATGCAGAGTTCAAAACACTGGTTATACTGATGCTCAAGGAACCGACTGAGGACCTCAACAGCATAAAAAAGATCCAATCAGAAAAGAAGGATACACTAAGTGAAATAACAATTTACAGGGAAACAATAGTAGAGAGGATGAAACAAAGAATCAAATCAATGATTTGGAAAATAAGGAAGCAAAAAATAATAAATAACCCACCAGAACAAGAAAAAATAATCAAAAAAAAAAACAAAAAATAGTGATAGTACAAGCAGCCTCTGGGAAAACTTCAAGTGGAAAAGAGAAAGAGCAAGAAATTGGAAATCTATTTGAAAAAATAATGAAAGAAAACTTCCCTAATTTGGTGAAGGAAATAGACATGCAAGTCCAGGAAGCACAGAGTCCCAAACAAGATGGATATTAAGAAGCCCACTCTAAGACAAATCATAATTAAAATGCCAAAGTTTAAAGATTAACAGAGAATCTTAAAAGCAGCAAGAGAAAAGCAGTTAGTTACCTACAGGGGATTCCCATAAGACTGTCAACTGATTTCTAAAAAGAAACTCTGCAGGCAAGAAAGGACTGACAAGTACTCAAAGTGATAAAAGGCAAGAACCTACGTCCAAGATTGCTCTACCCAGCAAAGCTATCATTTAGAATCCAAGGGCAGTTAAAGAGCTTCCCAGACAAGAAGAAACTAACGCAATTCATCATCACCAATCCATTATTATATGAAATGTTAAAGGAGTTTATATATAAGAAAAAGATCAAAACTATGAGCAATGAAATGGCAATAAATAAATTATCTATCAACAACTGAATCAAAAGCCAAACTAAGCAAACAAGAAAAACAGAGACAGAATCATGGATACAGAGAGTGTTTTGATGTTGCCAGATGGGAGGGAAGTGTGAGGGAATGGGTGAAGAGGTGAGGGGATTAATAAGTACAAACAGCCCTGGCTAGTATGCCTCAGTGGATTGAGTGCCAGCCTCAATCCACTTGCGAACCAAAGGGTTGCTGGTTCAATTCCCAGTCAGGGCACATGCCTGGATTGTGGGCCAGGTTCCCAGTAGGGCGCACAGGAGAGGCAGCCATACATTAATGTTTCTCTCCCCCTCTTTCTCCCTCCCTTCCCCTAAATAAATAAATAAAATTAATTAATTAATGTAAGTACAAACATGTAGTTACAGAATAGACATGGGGATGTAAAAGACAGTATAGGAAACAGAGTAGCCAAAGAACATATGAACATGACCCACGGACATGAACAATGATGTGGGATTGTCTGATGGAGTAGATGGTGCTGGGTGGAGGGGGCTAAAGGGGAGCAAAATCAGGACAACTGTAATAGCGTAATCAAATACAATTTTTCTTTAAAAAGCACTACCCAACCATTAAAAGAGTGTTTTCAAACTACCAAAAAATCTTATAATGTACAATGACCTAATTTGTAAGATGTATAGGTCAACAATTTCAATGTTACAGGGATACTTTCTGTTGGGAACTCCTCTAGGAAACTGTCCTTTCCCTGATACAGCTCAGGGAGAAGTGGCCATGAATTGAGCGCTGGCCTATGAAACAAAAGGTTGCTGGTTTGATTCCTAGTTGGGGCACACCCCTGGGTTGTGGGCCAGGTCTCCTGTTGGGGGTGTGTGAGAGGCAACCTATTGATGTTTCTCCCACACATTGCTCTTTCTCTCCCTTTCTTTCTCCTTCCCTTCCCCTCTCTCTAAAAGTAAATAAATAAGGAAATCTAATTCAGTTCTGTCAGAATAAGTGAGTGTTACCTTCAGAAAATGCAATCAATGCAATCTGACAGAGTTTATGTACACATAAAGAAAATTACTCAGTGATTATTAGTAAACTAAAAATCAGCCAAATATATTCTAAATACAGAGTCAGAAAGCAATATAAGTTACAATGCCCAAATATGGGGGTGGAGGGGCTAGTTTTACTAGTAAATTCAATTCCTTTGACAGTATGACACAAAAAGATCATATCAATTAATAATTTTTTAAAAAAGATCCAATTACAAAAAAAACCCACAAATTACAGTAATGAAATATTTTTCATAATACTACAGTAATAAACTATTTGGCAATCAAAATGCAAAGTGACCTCCTAAGATTGATTTCACTTCCTAGCAGCAGTCTGATTTAACTTTGAGAGTCTACATATGTCATTTTGTACAACATAAAGTTAACTGGTCTCATTCAAGTCTTTGAATATCCTGACTCACCCACCCTCAAATCTCCCTCAGGCCCTCTCCCCTCACACACACACTAAAGAACACATACAAAAGTAAACGTAATAAAATGGCACATGTAAAATAACTCTTGTATCAAAGAACATAAACATATGTCTTTCTGGCAACTGTTGTTAAACAGTTAAAACAGAAAGAATAAAAGACTAGTGAATCTTACTCAACCACTGAAATCCTAGAGGATGAAGTTCCTCCCCACCTACCAAAACTTAGATGCATATTACAGGACACTGGAGTTTGAAATTTGATTAGTAACTTACTAATTAGTCTACTCAGTCTACTTTTGAAAATGCAGTCATACATGAAAATAAGAATCCCAAAACACAACTCTTACTACACTTAACAGAAAAGATTCATTTTTTGTGCCTATTTTATTTTTTAAATAGGAGAAAATTCTCTGATTCTTTTTTAAAAAGGTACATTCATAATTTGGTACTTAAGTGGTTAGTATAACTTTTAAAGTAGAGTTAAGTATCTAACCACTTTGATACATGAAAAGATTAGGAAAACCTAACTCCACCTGCTTTAGCCTACAAACACAAAGTCCACGTGACATAGCAACATATAGTTGAAGGAGGTAAAGAAGTTTTTAAACCATCCTACATGATGGTTTTGGTTTTTTCCAGGGTGAAGATCAGAGTGGGATGAGGAAAAAAAAGGAATTAATATAGCATTTAACTATATTACTGTTAACTACTGCTCCAATAAAACTGTTATCTTTCAATAATTAGAAGCACCGAGTCCTCTACAGTTACCACATTTTTCCCATTTGTTTTTATTCCATTACAATAGTTTAACACTTAGGGTAGAAAAAAAGAAACTTAAAAATCTAAAAAGATAACTACGTCATCAAAATCTGCTGTTTTCCACTTATATGCAATATCTAGAATAGTCATTTTATACAAAGACAGTAGAGCAACAGTTACCAAGCGCTGGGGGAAGGGAGGATAAGGAAGTTATTGTGTAATGGGTACAGATTTCAGTTTTGGATAATGAATAAGTTTTGGAGATGGACAGTGGTTATGATTGCACAACAATGTAAAAATATACTGATGCCACTGAATTGTACACTTAAAAACAGTTAAATCTAATGAACAAACTGAACAAACAAAATGGACACAGACAGAAGGATGACAGCTAAGGGGAAGGGGTGGAAGGATTGAGCAAAAAGGAAAAAGGACTCCTGGACATAGATAACAATGTGGTGCTTGCAGGGGTGGGGGGATGGGAGGTTAAGGGGACTAAAGGGTAATAAAAAAAAAAGAAAAAATAAAGAAGTTTTAAAAAGAGAGAGAAAAATAAATTAAGTTCCAAACTTCAAAGAGGCCATTTAAAAAAAAATTTCCAATCAACTACTCTATTTTAAAGCCCAAAACCAGATCAAGATTTCCTATGCTATATAGTATCAGGTTTTCAAATCCTCATTCATACTTGCATCCTAAAAGCTTAGTCTATATGCCAAGGATTGGTATGCAGAAATACTTGGGATGTGTTTTTTACATTTCTCCAATACATCTTTCATTTCTCAGTCAATGTCCTCCAAAAACAAGGACTCCTTTCTATAGTCAAAATAGCATTACTCTTAAAATTAAGAGAATCATTATTTGTAATAAAGTGATTTTGTGAATAAGGGTTCAAGAAATAACACAGGGTGTTGATTTCCACAAGTGCATACATATTGTAGAAATAAGCAAGAGTTTAAGTCTAGCTCTGTATTATCAATAAGGTACATGTAGCTGCACTGATTATATGCTACATTCAGTATGTAACTCCATTTTTTCTACAAATCTATAAAGAGCTGAAAACATACGCATAAGGCTATGTGCCAACTCGACCTGTAGTACCCACAACTTACAAATGTGAAATTATACCATGCCTTTGAAGAAAAACCCAGAGATCTTCTACATAGCTCACGATTCAATAAATAGCTAAGTCAAGCATCATGCCATGGCTCAAAAGACTACCGTGGTGATATATTAACAAGTGGCATCAAACATGGGCTCACAAAAGGCAACTCAGTAATGACCAGGAAACCAACACGGTTAGCTAAGTAAGTTCACACCAAAAACCTGACTGGAAGGCAGGGAAAGGAAAGTGTTACCAAAATTGCCTAACCACTGAGATGGGTTACATAGTGAAAAAACATACAATGGACACAATTCATTAATACACCATCTGGTACTGACCTAGATGCCACATATATTAAATCTAATAATAAGACAAATGGTTCCTTATCAAGCTTGAGGATTCAAAAAACTACTGACATATTACAACATTTTGTGACAACAGCAAATACTTCTAAAAAAGAAATTTTAAATGCAATACCAAGGATTAAAATGTTAGGGGAACTTATATAATTGCATGTTTTGTTTTGTTTTTTAAAGATCAATAATACAATCTAATTATCAATACAACCTTGGAAACAGTTGCCTATTCTCTTTAACCCTGATGATTTTAGCCATTTTAGTATCAGTATATCACAAACAGTGATGGCAGGGAGATGGGAAATGTGTGGCCTGATAAATTATCTGTATTTACAGTGTTACACTAATTTCTGGAAAATGTAATGAACATGATAACTGTTCAGGACAAACCTAGGTAAAGTTGAAAAAATTGTAACTATTATAAATAATATTATAAATATCTTGGTCCATTACACTTTGATTCACCTAATTGCTTAGCTCTTTATCCACTAACTATATGAACTGACACTATTAAATGTATTCCTGAAAGGTTATAGGTCAATAGGATTGTATATACTAATCCTGGTACCAATAGTCTCTCCAGTTAATTGCAGCATCAGGGGTAATGTAGGACTACTCTAACAGAAATCCTAAACAGTGAGAATTCTTAAATGTCCTCAACTCGAAACCTCAGAACCTTGGAATATACTGTATTCATTCATAATATTCCCACTATATTTTAGGAAGTCTTATTTCCTCAAAGTAATATACCTAAGAGTAAATTAAAGTCCAACACATCATATGTTCTATTTAATTTGATTCCATCAAGTATGTGGGAATCTGTAAATAAAAGGGAAAAAAAAACATTTGAAAAAATAAAGCGTGTGTAAAAACAATCCCAAACTACTTTGAGAAAAAAATAAGCCTAACTAACAATTATAAATTAATAAAACTAATGAAAACAGGGGGTAAAAAAAAGAAATGATAAAACCAACCCCTCCTCGCTGACCATCTACATGTATGGAACGGATGTGATCTGCCAGATCTGGACTAGAGTTGAAGCAAGCCTGGCACTGGTCCCAACAACAATTATAGGCAATATTTTTGCTTGAAGAAGTAGTGCTTCCTTGTCCATTCATCATTGCTGGAGTTGAACGCCCACTGGAAATTGTGCTGTCTACATCCATTATAGTACTGCTTATGCTACAAAAGAAGAAAAAAGGCTGTGTTATTCCTAGAAATTCACTAACATGAATATGATCTTATAAATATTTAATTAAGATTATCACCTGATATTGTGCTCCAAATTATACTACCCATATTTTCCATTACAGAATAACACTGCTTTGAACTTATTTAGTTGGCAATAAAGTGCAAATAAAGGCCAAAAAAATGCTAGTACCTCAAAAGCCAGATATGTATGGAATATTTAATTTAAGCAACTTTTGGCAGACATGAACTCCCAGATACTATATCCTATAGAAAACATATACACGCATAAACAAAGCTCATTGCATTTCATCCCTTCCATAGTTAAGCAGGATAAAGTAATACTTTCCAGCTGCAAGTAATTCAGACTCAAAAGATTATCTTTACAGTTTGCAAATCACTAGATGATCTGACATCTTTTCATCTATTCATTAATCTGAGAATATAACTGTTGCCACATCCTATCTCTTCTCATCTCAAGTAAATTGGGAAATTTCGCTGTATTTTCCCCTCTAAATAAAAAAGCAGAAGAGAGAAAAGTTTCTGATTTTACCCAATTCCAAATAAAATGTCTTTTTTAAACTAATCTCTATCCACCAAAAGACTGAAAATGCCAATCAATCCCTTTTACTTTTTATTTACTAAGCTAAGTATTACATATTATTAACCTCTTTATGAAAAATTACATTAGTAATAAAAATTATTGCTCAAAATTTCACATCTTAATGAAATTTAACATACTTTTGCCTTCATTTTAAAAGCAATTTACTGCTTTTTCCTCCAATTTTCTTCCCAACAGAGAAACTATGTGGAAGTAGCTTCAATTACAGAATGGTCAACAGGAAGAATATTTTCAGACTAAATTAAAAGCTATCTACACCAGCTTGTAATTTAAGTATCAGTAAATTATAAAAATTATATTATATTTAGGGGCATGTTTCCCTACCCCATTTTTATTACAGAAAATTGTAAAGATGTAGAAAAGTCTATCTAAATCTGAACTCAGCAGTAAGTACATGCTATCCTATTAGTTGTTTCTAATTTGTTTTGCTCAATCATCTGCAAGTTGCAAACATACTTCAACCACAATCATTTCAGCACATGCCTTCTAAAAATAAAAACATTCACTTATACTATTTAAAACTTATTTGCTGCCCTGGCTGGTGTGGCGCAGTGGTTGAGTGCTGGCCTGCGTACCAAAGGGTTGCCAGTTCAATTCCCAGTCGAGGACACATACCTGGGTTGCAGGCCAAGTCCCCAGTGGGGGGCACAAGAGAGGCAACCACACATTGATATTTCTCTCCCTCCCTTCCTGTCTAAAAATAAATTATACCTTTAAAAAAAAACTTTTCTCCCACCTAAGAATTATACTGAATTAGAACCTTTTAAGTAAGCCTAATGATTTGTGCCTAACGTCAAATGCAACCCCCAAAGCTAGCAAAAATGTCCTTGTATGATGCTTCAGATACCAAAAATGTCTCAGATTTTCCTTTAAAGGATATTCATGTATTTAAGTTCATCTAGTTATCTATCTACCAGTCAATATGTAAAGTCGAATTGCAACTCTAAAATTTTGTGATCTCTTTAAAACTCTCAAATACAAAAAAGCTCTTGAATACCTGAATATTTATTCATAAATTGTTTTTGCAGAAGTAAATTGTGAGTATGGTAGTTCTCCTATACTAAAATACAAACTTTTGCCCTAACTGGTGTGGCTCAGATGGTTGGACGTCGTATGGCAAAGCTAAGGGTAGCCAGCTGATTCCTGGTCAGGGCACATGCCTAAGTTGTGGGTTTGGTCCCCACAAGAGGCAACCAATCAATGTTTCTTTTTCACACTGATATTTCTCTCCCTCTCTCTTCTCCCCTCCTCTCTAAAAAAATTTTTTTAAATACATAAAAAATAAAATATGTTTATTTAAGCCCTAGAAATTTCAAGTTCATGTGGCCCTTAACTGTTACATGGTTATTTATTTTCCTTATCACTTGCAATATATATTTTAAAACATTTTAACTGTTAAGCTCACATTTCTGTAAGCCATACTAATTAACTAAAGGTAAATAAAATATTAACAATTTTAACAACTAATCACACTCAATTTATAATAAACAATCTTGGGAAAAGCAATAAATCTCAGTGACCTATTATGGTACAATCTCAAAGGTAAAGTCAAAAAAACCCACCCTGGCTGGTGTGACTCAGTGGATTGAGCACTGACCTGCAAACCAAAAGGTCACTGGTTCAATTCCCTATCAGGGCACATACCTGGGTTGCTGGCCAGGTTCCCAGTTTGGGGGTGAGCAAGAGGCAACTAATCAGTGTTTCCCTCACACATCAATGTTTCTCTCTCTCTTTCTCCCTCCCTTCACCTCTCTCCAATAGATAAAATCTTTATAAAAAACCCAACCCACATCCACCCACAAGTGCAGTGTAGTAAGGTTCCAATTTGCACACCTAAGTGGAGGAAGGAGATAGATTTAGATACAACTATCCTCTAGAGGCAAACTCTCTTTTAAAGGATACATACAACACAGATGTTGGGGGCTGGGAGAGCGGCATAGGAGAGAAACTTTCACTGTACATATCCTTTCACTGTGTGTGTGTGTGTATCCTTTTGTATCATTTTTAACCACAAAACTATACTAATTGTAGTTACAAGTCCAAAATGAATTAAAAGTGAAACTAAATCAATTATCTTTAAATTGAACAAAGCAATGCAAGGTCAAGAGACTCATATACTTATGATAAACCCAATTAGCAATATAGAGTCTATCTACACAGTGTTTAGCATTCAGTTTATTACTGAATGGAAATTTGACAAATCCAAATATCTATGAAAAGGCCCTGGCCAAGTTGCTCAGTTGGTTAGAATGATATTCCCGTATTCCAAGGTTGTGGCTTTGATCCCCAGTCAGGGCACATACAAGAATCAACCAATAAATGCATAAATAAATGGAACAACAAACTGACGTCTCTCTACATATGTAAAAATCAATTTAAAAAAAATCTATGAACACTAAAAGCATTGTTTAATCAGTCTATGTGCAATTTCACTCACTTAAAAAACAGTACTTCATTTGAATATACATCCTAGTAACAGGACAGTATAGCGTTGGCTGGTGTGGCTCAGATGGTTGAAGCATCCTCCTGTGAACCAAAGGTCACAGGTTCAATTCCTGGTCAGGGCACAAGTGTAGGTCACAGGTTCTGCCCCCAGTTGGGGCATGTATGAGAGGCAACCAACTGATGTTTCTCTCTCCCCCTCCATTTCCCACTCTCTTAAATCAATGGGCATGTTCTCAGGTGAGGATTTAAAAAAAAGAGAGGACAGTATAATACAGGTGTTAAAAGCATGAACTCTGTCATCATTGGCAACTAAGGTACGAATGCAATAGCATAGATAAGGGACAGGTCCCATGCCCTGGAAGACTTGACAGACACTTCACACTATGTACCGCCTCCACACAGAGCTTCCCATAGCTGAGCAGGACCAACTGCAGTCCTGCTTCACAACCCCTCTTAAAATCTCCAACTTCTAGGAAGTGTCCAATCCTATACCCAAAGGCTCCCTCTTGGCCCCAGATCCATGCTGCAATCAGCAATTCCCTCCACTCTACAGACTAATGAAGGCAACAGCCCTAACACAGGGGAGCACAGGAGACAAGTTACAGGTGATTTCTGATTTTGACAGGATCCTAAGCTAGATAGAGATTTCACAGAAAGTAGTATCCTTCTTCCTCTAACAGTAACATAACAAGATGAGCAGAACTAAAAAGTAATGTTCCGCCTGATCTTATACAATTTCTAGAATCATACATATATTAAAAATTTTCAATCAGTTCTTTTTACCAGTGAACACGTACTGATTCTGTAAAATGTGAACAAAAGCAGCCTGGCATTTGGAAAAAAACCTGAGCCAGAAAAAGCATTCACACTGTTCAGATAGTTTCAATCATCTAAAATGGTGATTCTCAAACTAACATATATATATGAATCGCCTGAGATCTTATTAATTGCAGATTTATTCAGTGGGTTAGGGTAGGACCTGAGATACTAATGGATTGGCCAAAAAGCTCATTACGTAAGATGGCTCTAGCAGCACTTTGTTGAGTTGAACTTCACTCAAGACAAGTGTGTTAAACTGTATTGTGACAGCTGTTCTGTCAGCCTGCGTTTTTTTAAAAAAATCAAAATTGGTGAATTATTGTTAGCCATTTTAATATTGAAGATGGAAGAAAATATATTTTGGCATATTGTGCTTTATTCTTTCAAGAAAGGTAAAGTGCAATTGAAATGCAAAAAAGATTTGTGTGGTGTATGGAGAAGGTGCTGTGACCGATCAAACACGTCAAAAGTGGTTTGCGAAGTTTTGTGGAGATTTCTCGATGAATGATGAGGCTCCTGATCCTGTAGACCAGTTGAAGTTGATAGCAATCAAATCAAGGCATTAATTGAGAATAATCAATGTTATACCACATGGGAGATAACCAACATAATCAAAATATCCAAATCAATAAAGTTATTGGTGAAAATGAAAAATGTGTCTTATTTTATGGGAAAAAAATACAGATCTTTTGGCCAGCACAATATATGTTTAACAAGCATCTATCTGCTTGATGCTGCTGCTACATTTTAAGTAGCAAACTCTAAAAGATCTCTTTCACTATTATTATCCAACTGAGACTAACCAAGCTAAAGGAATTATCTCATAGAATAATAAACTAAAGCATTTGCATACACACACACTCTCTGTGACAACGGAAAACCCATTAAGTTTCAAAAAATAAATATACATGCACACACACTGTTAGAGAATCCAGTGAAATATTTAGGAAAGGAGATGAGATATTTTCATGTCCTCTCCTAAATATTCCCTTTCTCCACTTTTCCATGGACCTTGTTAAGAAACCATTTGGCAGATCACAGTTTGCTACCCCAACATCTAGAGTGCTAACTATATGGAATTTACAGAAATGGCTTCCCTTAGGAAACC